GCATCCTTGGAACTTATATTTGACCTAAGTACCAGATTTCACTAGATAGCCAATTAAATCCTGTTTGCTCGCTTGTCCCCCAAAATACCAGTGAATCTTAAACAACAGAGACATCTGGAGCTGAGGTGGTGCCTACTCACCTGAGCACAAAGTCATGGGAGTCAATATCTTGGCCATACTGAGACTTCAGGAGGTTCCCAGAGTTGCCCACGACCGCGCACCGTTTGCACGTGTAGGTGCCTCGCTCCTGCAGTGGATCCCCATCTCCAGGAATGAGCTTAAACAAATCCTTGAGAGTAGCATTAATGTTCTTCGGAGCTTTCTCTCCTTGCAATTTCTGTTAGGGAGAAAAATCACTCCAGGTTACCAATATCGCTAACTTCTCTGTGAGCAAGACATAGCTTAAAATATCTTCTCAAAGACCATTCTTGCATCTACCTGCAGACACTGCCTCCTTCCCATTAACTTTTTAAACTTGGTTCCCCTTTTCTCTTCCTTTTCCCTGGATTCCCTCATCTATTCAGTCTCTCTCTAGCCATGGTGGAAGAAATAATTCATTTTTCCCAAGGCTGACCTTAGTAGAATAAATGTTCCTCTGGTATCTATAAGCCTAATCCTACGTGGGGCCAGATATCTTCTGTTAGGAGATGTATAAGATTTCTTTTAACCTTCGTAGGAAGGACCGAAGGGTCTCAGTGAACCTGATGGAGCACAGAAGTGGGTGACACTCCTTCCATGAATTTTGTTACATGACAGAAGTGGAAGTGGGAGGGAGATCTTATTGCTACTGTTCTGGACTGCAGAGCAACCAGCTGCTAGTGCAATAGGAAATTACGGTAGAGTTAGCCCTGAGGGTTGGAGATGTAAAATCATCTGAAAAATTCTCCAGGATGAAGAAAACCACCCGGACCTTGGTCATTGTGTCTGTTACCATGGAGGGAAACTCTTTTGTAGCAGCTCTGTGGTGCATGGTGGAAACAATGGTTGGATCAGGAAGGTACAGGCAAGGTGCAGGGCAGATGATGGCCAAACACTCCCTTTCTGGGGCTCTGCTCTCTGAGGGCTACTAAAGAGGTTGGGAATGCTGGCAGGCTCACAGAAAGCATTACCCACCCTCGTGGCACTCCTTGCATGGAAGTTCACAAAGGGAGAATGGCTCCTAACACAAAATATGCCAAAAGCCTCAGCCCTTGCTCTGCCAGCCCAGGGCAAGGAGAGACAGGGAGGGAGGGAGGGAGGGAGGAAAAACACCTTTTCTCAGGACTCCCAGCCATGGCCTGAGGCAATTTGGCTGTAGTTTCCCATGTGTTTCCCTTGACTGCACCAGGAACTGTTAACTTGTCCTGCTATCTCTCTCTCTCACAGAAAAACAAATAGATGTATCACTGTAATTTTTGTTTAAATTTCATGCTGTCTCTTTGCAGACTTATGTAAAGGAACCTTATTTGCACTGAAATGAACAACAGATCTGTGGAGCTCTGAGCTACATGAAGACATTGGGGCCAAGGAAACTTGAAACAAAGAAGACAAAGAAATGTTACACACATAGACTTAATCTTCCTGTGAATCCTTGTGAGCCAATATATTCAATATGGACTGTACAAGGTGATTAGGATGCAACGTAATTAGGATGCCCAGACAAGCATTGTCATTATTACCACTTATGTCACTATTCAGTGGATGGGTCAATTATTTAAGTGAAAAAGGTTATCTTCTAAATTTGTGTGTGATGCTGCAAACACATGTTCGCATATCTGAAGCCTTGTGTATCCTTGATGAATCTAATCTAACCTGATTTTACTCTGAATATATGAAAAACACCTAATGTTAGAAAGCCAGCAGCCTTCAAAATAAATGGAGGCTTCATAGATATCTTAGAGTGTGATAGCAGGTGTTTAATGTAGAAGAATCCAACTTTGTTTTAAAAATGAACTTATTTTGAGTTATTTGCACATGAATGCATATATACCCGTGTGTACTCTCTCTCCGAACTTTAACTGGCTTTAAGAAATGAAAGGGAAAACTGCCAAATATGCACCAAAACATTTTTAAGAATATAAGTTTTTCCAGGAAAAAATAAACAAACAAAAACCTAGCTTGAACTGAGTTTGCCTGAGAAAATGCAGGTGTGGAAGATAGTTTTCAGAAAATTCTATGTATCTAAGTCCCCTTTTTAAGTTAAATTGCATTTTCAGCCAGAATGATAGCATCTGGAAAGGAAGGGACCCGGAACATCGACTTCTGTTTGATGCATTAAAATGATAAGAAACACTATCGTGGGCAGGCGCCTCCACTGACACAAAGCAATGATCTGCATTTTCTTTCTGTTACGCTCCTATCGGTCTAGAGTAACTCTACTGAAACCAAGTTAAAACATGGGCACCACTGAGAAAGCAGGACAGCAGTGTCCCACGATCCCTTGGTTGCACAGTTTCCACAGCAGAGATTATTACTTACGTTAGAGAATCCCTCAATGACCTTAAATAGGACGATGACCTTATTGCACTGTGTGCTGAACATCCATACAATAAGACTTCCGTCCTTAACTCATTAGAACTGCTCTGTTTTAATTTCCTCAGTGATTATCTGATTGGACTACACTTTTCAGGCCTAATCTTCAATCAGCAGTGGTTGGTCTTTGACATTTCAGCAAAACAGAGAGAACAGGCAATGAAGCTGGTTCACTCCAAGGCAGATACAGCTTCTAAAAGTTCAGATTTACAGTGCAGCCAGTTCCTTATTACACAATGTTTACTTGACTTCTTGAAAAAGACCATTTTAATAGCATTACAATTACAAGCCAATTATAGTTCACTTTCCCACACCAAACTTCTGCCCTTTTTTTTGAGTAATGTTGTCTTTTCTACTTTTTTTAACAAGCTCCCACCAGTCTGGCCTTTCCCATAAATCAACAAAAGGACTGGGTGAAAGTCTGTCCGTGTTGTGCAAGGCAGAGCCACGTCGGCGCCACGTGGCTCTGCTGGAACAGCATCCTCCCTCCAACTGCTGTAGGAGTGTGCCATGGATAGGTGTGTGGATGTAGCTGCTAGAAGTGGGTTTAAATACACTGAAATACCTGACCCCTGTGTCCTGGGTGAAGTGGCTGCTTTTATTGGAAGTCTGTGCAAGCAACAGCCCTGTCTAATGATGCAGCTTAACCTCTTGCCCAAGTACAAAAAGCACCTTAATCTAATGAGCTGGTTACAGTTCAGAGTATTACTAATGCCCAGATCATCTCCAAGAGAGGAGGACTCCAATCCATCTTTAAGTCACAATAAGCACAGAGCAGCCCCGGGGGTATACCCAGGAGGAGAATTTGGGCCATTATTTGTTACAGGACTAAAGTAATTAAGGGAGAGTTTATTAGCTCGATAGATTTAAGTGAATTAAAAACAACAACCCCCTTGTTTCTGTGAACACAGAACAGCCAGGTACATTTTCAGATTCCTTCTCCAGAAGCAGCCCTGCCCTGTGCAGCAGGATGAGCTGCTGCAGGGATGGGGATGCTGCCCTTCTCTTCCCTGCTCTTTCCCACCGCACGGGTGGTACCGCTAACTCCAGTATGGACAATGCAGCCAGGAATATTGCCTTCCAAAAAGCTACATCCCACCACAGTAGAAGAGCTAAAATAATATATTCTGCAAATAAACCATGAAGCATCCTGGCAGCCATGTGAAGTGAAACCAGGCAAGTGAAACCACCCCATCCTTTGGCCCCAAATGTCACTTAATCTCAAATACTGGTCATTAGGCTCTGAAATCTGCCTTTGCTTTCCTAGAAGTGGAGGGTTAGTAATGCTACAGGACTATTTTGATGGTTAATTTTCATTCACTTATTACAGAATCATAGAATCATGGAACAGTTCAGGCTGGAGGGGACCTTTAAAGGTCATCTAGTCCAACCCCCTGCAATCAGCAATCCCATCTTCAACTAGATTGGGTTGCTCAGAGCCCCATCCAACCTGACCTTGAATGTTTCCAGGGATGGGACATCTACCACCTCTCTCGGCAACCTGTGCCAGTGTTTCACCACTCTCATTGTAAAAAAATTTCTTCCTTATATCTAATCTAAAATGTATACCTAATTATATAACTAATCCAAATATTTCCTCTTTTAGTTTAAAGCCATTGCCCTTTGTTCTGTTGCAACAGGCCTGCTAAAAAGTCTATCCCCATCTCTCCTATAGGCCCCCTTTATGTACTGAAATGCTGCTATAAAGTGTCCCCAGAGCCTTCTCTTCTCCAGGCTGAACAACCCCAACTCTCTCGGCTTGTCTTCTTAGCAGAAGTGCTCCAGCCCTGTGATCATCTTTGTGTCCCTCCTCTAGACCCACCCCAACAGGTCCATGTCTTTCCTGTGTTGAGGGCTCCAGAGCTGGATGCAGTGCTCCAGGTGGGGTCTCACCAGAACAGAGGGGCAGAATCACCTCCCTCAACATGCTGGCCATGCTGCTTTTGATGCAGCTCAGGATACAGTTGGCTTTCTGGGCTGCAAGTGCATGTTGCCAGCTCATGTCCAGCCTTTCATCCACCAACACCCCTAAATTCTTCTTGGCAGGGCTGCTCACTATCGCTTCATCCCCAAGTCTGTGCTGATATGGGCAGTTGCTCTGACGCTCAAAGTGTTGTTACATCCAAAAGACTGTAACTGGCAGGAACAGAGCAACTGCTGTGGAGGGTGAGCACCGTTGGCCAACAGTACACCTTAAATCTCCCTGAGCAGTACCAGAAGAAGCAATGCAGCCTTCAGAACAGCAGTAATGCAATGGCATAGTCACAAGAGCAGTTTCTTTCCAACCTCACTAATTTCGTGGTTGATCTATGGCCTGGATGGCACACAGGAGCTAAACCTTTAACTTAGCTGAGCCTTGTGAAGTGTGTGTATTTTGGTTGCAGTTTTTATGAATGTCAAAGGGTTCCTTGGATTCTTGCAGTCTCCCAAAGAAGCCAAAGACCTACAACTGGACTAGTAGAACAAATTCACAAATCAGCATTGCTCACCTTTTCTTTTTTGACTTTGATTTTCCGTGGAACTGGAATATATGTGCTGTTGGGAGAAAAAACAATACCACCACCAAGATTAATAAAAGCCCAACATATGAATATTTTCATATATTTCCAAAGAAATAAAGAATATTCTCCATTTACAGTAAGAAATTCAAATTATTTTAAAGTAATACATTGAAGAAGTTGTTGGAAAATGAGGCTGCAATTAAGTAATACAAGAGCAAGAAAAAACTGAGCTGTCACTGAAGCAAGTTTATAGGAAGCCAATACATTTTTAAATTTTCAAGTTAATTATTGACAATAGGGCACCAAATATTCAGCTGACAGTATACTGTAGGGTCAATATTATGTGAAGCCCATGACTTCTAATTCTTGTGTCATGACTGTTGCAGTCTTTCCGCTTTGATGACAGGAAGGACTTTCCATTTAATTTCATGGCAGAAAAAACTTTTCCCACCAGGGGGAGACTTTTCCCCTCCTAATACTTGCAGCTGCTGCATGATTTTCAGAGTAGGTGGTAGTAGAGTTCATAATTTCTGTGCTTCTGTGCAACTCTGACATTCCAATACACAGCCCCTCACCAGCAAGCTATTCCCCTCCTCCCCAGGGAATGCTGAAGGCTTCCTGTCTTTCCCAGCATCAAACTTCCAAGTCATATCTTATGACTGGGTCAAAATCACGAGCCATGTCTTGAAAACAAAAAAATCTTTTCTTCCCCATATCTCATGCACAGTGTATGCTGGCATTGTACAGCTTATCACGAGTGCTGTAAAAAAAAAAAAGTCTCCCTGAGTTTGTTTCAAGTAAGAAAATTCTGAACTGGCCTTGTAACTAGAATATATACCAAAATATACCCTGCAGACTTTTTAGACGGCTTGTGAAAAAACACCAAAACCTTCCATTAGTTCAATCTAAATGGTTTTTGCTTGATTTTTGGTCACAACAAGGTTCCTGTGATCAACGTTTTATTTCTCTTTGAACCATGGATCATCAGCACTTTGAAACATTAGTTTAAGTCTTCTCAAATCAATGGTAACCTGGCAATGTCCTCATCTCCTTAGGTGCTTCTGGGCATCCCTCACCTTATATCCCAGCTCCAGGCTGGATGCAGTGGAAGACATGATGGGTGGGTTACAGCCGCCTGAGATGTGACATGAGATGCTAACAGGCAAAGGGATATAGGTGTGGACTTCTTAATCTGCCCTCAGCAAATCTGCCCTTATATCTGCTTCCCACGCCTGACCTCGCTTAGCAAAGTTGGTAAAAGTAAGCTTGGTGATCCCATGTCCTTTTTGTGGTTATGAAGACTTAAAAGGCTTCTTTGCTAGTAAAATCTCTTCATTATTATATAAATAAAGAGCCAGTCTTTTCTGAGAAGCTGATGTGAAGGAAACAAGAGGACCGTATTTCATGAACCTCTAGCCAGGTGGGGTAGAAGACCAAAGTGAACAGTATGAAATATACAAGACAGTATTTGCTCATCCAACCAGGACACTACTATAGCTCTTATCAGCTGACGTTATTAGTCGTTTATATCATGGGTTATTTCATTTTTCAGAAGCAATACCCATGTCCTGCTGTCACTTGGCTGCAGAATTTCATACAACCAAATGGAACGCATTGACACGCTGATTAAGACCAAATGGAGACCTACACCATCATGACCATGTAAAAACCGGGCTGCATAGCAGGGAGTTAGCGATCAAGTAAATACCACACAGGAGCAGGACAGAGACTAAAGCCTCTGATGAAGGTGGCTACAGATGGAATTCATATTAACTGGAAAGCATCTTCTATGAGCCTCTTGGCAGTGTTCTAGTGAAGTCTGGCAGCATCACTGGCCACCTGTACAGGATATTTACTGTGCTATTGACCCAAGTGGACGATGTGGAACATTTTAAGAAATAAAAATATTGCTCTTTGCCAAACCAAGTGGACATCCATGGAGCTTTTTTCACTATGGAGATTCCTAGAAGACTTGAAGAAGGTAAATTAAGGCAACTAGGCTAAATATATGACAGATGCGGGCCTGAAGGTTTTCAGTCCCAGAAGGCTTTTCTTGTTTTTTTTTCTGGGACAACGTTCAGTCTTAGAGAGCCTCTTTGAAATGGGATATCCATCAGTCATATGGGACACATCTGAAACAATCATTCATCTACCAATTCAATCTAATATTAAAGCTATCTGCAGTTTGGCTTTTCTTTTGAAACATACTACAGAATGCTTACCGTTTTAAACTGTGAGATATTTCTTCTCTTCTAAAATTCTGAATTTCAGATGGGTTTTATTTTTATTTGATGCCTTCTCCCAGTTACAAATGCACAGTCAATAATTTCCTTATAGACTGTATTTGACATTGTGTATTTAATGTATGCTTATAGGTTTATTCTGCTAGCCTAAAATTATGTTAAATATATTGTTATGATTTGTGTGCTTATGATTTTCTGGTTTTATTGCTCCAGCATGTGCCAGCTTATTAATTATGCAATTTCCCTGCTTCGAGTACAGCAAAAATCTTAAAATACTGGTACTTCTTCTGTGGGGTTAAATATTCACACAGTAATTTATACCAGATGCTTACCAAGCCCGTGTATACAATCTAATTATAAATATATAATATATCCTGTAATTTATTAAGCAAAGATGTTTTTTCCTTTCATGTGCTGTGACTGCCTTGTAGTCAACCAGTTACATCTTCCTGACAGGTTAAATGGTAAACTTGGTAAACTCAAGTTTACCACTACAACCTACTTGCTGCTACTTCTGAAGGGAAATACTTGATAAAAAATGGTGAACAGCTTTGTAATCTGGGCACAGAGCAGTGACAGTGATGGATACACAGATGGGTGATGATGGCAGCAACTGGCCCTCTGTGGGCTTCTCTTCATGGTGCGGGCACAAATATAACAAAGATGCTTCAAGGGGCTCCATTCAAAGGCCACTGGAGGCAGCTGGGATCTTTTAATTGCTTCTGGTAGGATTTGGATTCAGGCTTAAGGGCAGAGGTTCTCAATCTCTTTTATCAATACAGTTTTTAAAATAAAAAAATGCCTAAGCCTTACAAAAAAAAACCTAAGTCAATTTTCTAAGTGGGCTGACTTTTCTGAGATATGAGTGTGTCCTGAAGATGGATTTTTTCAAGAAAACTTATGACCGTATATACTAAATGCGGGTGGCAACAAAGGTAAATGAGACTAAACCAGACTGTATTTACAAAGAGAGAAAAGAAAAAGAAAAGAAGAAATAAAACTCCATTCGTTGTCCCATCAAGAAGTTTTCTTTAAAAATGTGAAGCAGGTCTTATCCCCAGACAACAGGGACATATTTTTCCCAGTTTTTAATCCTCTGAGACTCTGAAATTGGGCAAAAAATTGAAATGTCTTGAAATACTTCTCTCTGGAATAAAGTAATCTGATCTGCTGTTGCTGTCCACATGTAGCCGGGCGCCTCTGAGCAAACCCACCAGGCTGTGGCTTTACATGCAATAGATAACCTCACACACAGTACAAATGTCTTGTATTTCATTCTCTGGATTAGGAAAAGCCAGCTTATAGGAAGAGAGAGAATCCGCTACAAGGCAACCAGAAGAAACATGTTTTGTTCACATTTCTAATTCTAGTTCTGCCATGAATATATTAAGCAGGACAACATTTACTTCTGAAAGCAAGAAGAAGAAATGAAGAATAAATACCAGCGTGGCACATTGCTGTGAGGTAAAACATGTCAATTTAAAGCTAAGGCACACAGGTGAAACAACAGTGTCTCCTCTGCATGGCTCTCAATCACTTTCCACCAGGAAAGATGGACAGAATTCCTGACTGACTTGTCCATGGAAGGGTGCTGTGGATGGGGGACTAAATGTCCCAATCTGCTTCTCCTCTCACTGCCTCCGTGAGCAGCCTGCACATCCCTCTCTGCCTCCTTGTCCTCTTCTGCAAGTGGGATGATATATGCTGGAGGACCATTTGGCCACCCAAGTGTCCCAGGTGGGATAATCCAGGTTTCTAGAACCACTGCTGAATGAACAACCCACCAAACACTTGACTCTGCAGATGGTTTTCTGATGGGTGTGTCTGGGTATGAGCGTGCTGGCTGCACCTCCAGGCACTGGAGAGAAGGAAGGATGAGCAGAAACCCAAAAAGAGGCACTGAACCCCAAAGCCCAGGAAGCCTCTGCTCAAACTGGCCACCTTCAGCAGCAAAAAATCCCCCTTTCATATCTCTGAGACCACTGTGTGGGGCCGCAAAGAGCTTTATCTGGATCTTTTCCTCAAAGAGTGCACCATAGCATTAAGCTTTTCCTAGAAAGCAAGTGTTCAGGACTGAACCCTGACCTGAAAGGGCCTGTAAAGCTCCTCTAGGCCTTATCAGAAGTGGAGTTTTGCCCAGTTTGGGCTTTCCTGTCCTACAGCAACATGTGGGAGCTCCCACCCCTTCAGCCCGCCCGCTCAGGGCTGCCCTTACTCACAAGTTGATGGTGCCTGTGGTGAGAGCGGTGATAACCCAGCGCAGGTCCAGGGTTTTGAAGGGGATCAGGATCATGCTCACATTTTCTGCCAGGTCTTTGTAGCTCTCAGGATAAACGAAGTGATGAGTGGTCTTGCTCCCAACATCTGGTTCGTAGCCAGTGGTGGGGGCACGGTTCATTCTGCAGCCCAAAAGTAAGAAGTGAGAGTGAGGAAGTGGGAAAAGGATGCAACACCATGGAGAAACCCCCAAGCTGTCTCTGAGCAGAATGGGGTTTCTCTGCAGCCCAGTGGAGTCTCCTGCAGAGACATTAGCTCAGCTCACAGCAGAAGTGTAGGGAGGACAAGGAAGGATGTAGCTGACAAGATGATGAGAAGCATTGTACATTGTGAGACAACACGTTGCCCTGGTCACTGATAACGGGGGAGGTAAAATCTGTTTATCAAGATTATGCCAGGCTGTGTTATTGCAATGCTCCCCCAGGTGAATTAGTTAAGTTTAACTCCCTCAAGGGGAGTTATTAGCGTAGGCAGACTATCCTGCCAGCCTGCGAGGACCTGTTATTGAGTTAGTCTCTTCCCTGGCAGCAACCCACATCATACTATGTGGAAATACTCAGTTAAGCATGAGACTTACTGTGTTTTATCTTGAGATTAGTCAGTCTGAGGTATAAAATATGGTGTTTTCTTTCCATCAGGACAAAGTCAAGGGTGGCATCTTAAGTTATCTTACTCACACTCTGCCCTCAGGTCTGTGTACCTTCCCCACCATCTGTAGTGGGGCTGCCTGCGTGGCATGGTAGAAGGCCAGATCTAGTCTAAGCAGGAAGGATCAAGCAGGAATTTCCTTACATCATAAAAGTAGATAGTAAGCAAATAAAAGTGGGCTGGGACACAGTATTTGGAAGGAAATGTGTCCCCTCAGACTTCCTGGGTCTTCCCTGCACTTGGGTGTGTTGCCAGAGCACATGAAAATGAGTATCAGGTCAGCAGATATTTTGTTTGTTGGATTAACCCATAGAGGAGTCACCTTCTCTGCACAAGTTTCCACAGTGAATCTTAAAACTTTGTGTCGTCGATTCAGATATGGCTTGAGATCCCTAAAATAGAAATCAGTGCCTGGAAGGTTCAATTTTGAATCATTGAGTTTCTCCCTTTCCAAGCATGTTCTGTTATGGGGAAGAGTTAGGTCTCAAAGCAGAAACCCGCATCTGAGCGTGTTATTCTCTTGTTACTACTACAAAAATAGCCTTTGAGTCTAGCAAAGCCTTTTCTGCATGAATATAGAAATGTAGACCAGGAAATATAAGAAAATTCACACAGGAACAGGGCTGTCTTCGTAGCAAGGGACATAGAGTTAAGCATAAATGCACCTCAGCTGCCTCCCATTTTGCAACATGAGGGATTAATATCAAGGGGTCTTCACTTCCCTGCTTGGATCTGAAGACCAAGTTATCTGCCTTTGCCTTTGGGGAGGTACTTTTGGCAGAAGACAAGGCAAGCAGCTGATGGAAGCAACACCTGAAAAGATTTATCATGAAAGTTTAGATGTCATCTAAAGACTCTAGAGTGTGTCCAAGCAACATTGGAAGCCAAGTGGCCTAAGGTGGCTTAACAGTTCAAATAGCACTAATCTTCTGCTGATTCACCCTTGGCTTCAGTGCACAGCTTCCTTCTAAAGGTTATGTTGCTTCTGAGAGTATAATCCCACATGTGGTATTTTCAATAGCAATGCCTCTTTCCAGGCCCTCTGACCTGCTTTGCGTTGCTCCCAAAACTGTGCTGTACTGGCAGCTGTGGTGTGAAAGCTGGGCAACACTTTGGAGATTAACCTAGTCAGCCCAGATATCTTGGCTGCTCTGTAGGTGATTTGCTCTGCTTACCTAGTTCCCGCTTGTGTTTCACTGGGACAGTATAGCCAACCCTCATTGCCTCGAGAAGAAGAAGCAACGTGACCCTTCACAAAGTAGCTGCAGCCAACCAGTTTTCTCCTGTCCATTGCAAAGAGACTTTAGCTTTCCCACCCCACCATTGCTTAAGAATGAATCGATGCAAGAAAGTAAAATCTGAAACAGTCAATTAAGTGTGTAAAAGATCACTTGTGTGTACTGGTTGCAGAAATAACTTTTACTCAAAACTGTAGGGTTTTTCAGTGATATTTTTTAACACAGGCAATTATGATAGTGCGGAACAAACTACAGTATCAACACCTACTCATGTTTGATTTTTTTTTTTTCCAAGCTAAAACATGAAGTCATGTCTCCAATACACACAGTTTGCATCCTTGGAACTTATATTTGACCTAAGTACCAGATTTCACTAGATAGCCAATTAAATCCTGTTTGCTCGCTTGTCCCCCAAAATACCAGTGAATCTTAAACAACAGAGACATCTGGAGCTGAGGTGGTGCCTACTCACCTGAGCACAAAGTCATGGGAGTCAATATCTTGGCCATACTGAGACTTCAGGAGGTTCCCAGAGTTGCCCACGACCGCGCACCGTTTGCACGTGTAGGTGCCTCGCTCCTGCAGTGGATCCCCATCTCCAGGAATGAGCTTAAACAAATCCTTGAGAGTAGCATTAATGTTCTTCGGAGCTTTCTCTCCTTGCAATTTCTGTTAGGGAGAAAAATCACTCCAGGTTACCAATATCGCTAACTTCTCTGTGAGCAAGACATAGCTTAAAATATCTTCTCAAAGACCATTCTTGCATCTACCTGCAGACACTGCCTCCTTCCCATTAACTTTTTAAACTTGGTTCCCCTTTTCTCTTCCTTTTCCCTGGATTCCCTCATCTATTCAGTCTCTCTCTAGCCATGGTGGAAGAAATAATTCATTTTTCCCAAGGCTGACCTTAGTAGAATAAATGTTCCTCTGGTATCTATAAGCCTAATCCTACGTGGGGCCAGATATCTTCTGTTAGGAGATGTATAAGATTTCTTTTAACCTTCGTAGGAAGGACCGAAGGGTCTCAGTGAACCTGATGGAGCACAGAAGTGGGTGACACTCCTTCCATGAATTTTGTTACATGACAGAAGTGGAAGTGGGAGGGAGATCTTATTGCTACTGTTCTGGACTGCAGAGCAACCAGCTGCTAGTGCAATAGGAAATTACGGTAGAGTTAGCCCTGAGGGTTGGAGATGTAAAATCATCTGAAAAATTCTCCAGGATGAAGAAAACCACCCGGACCTTGGTCATTGTGTCTGTTACCATGGAGGGAAACTCTTTTGTAGCAGCTCTGTGGTGCATGGTGGAAACAATGGTTGGATCAGGAAGGTACAGGCAAGGTGCAGGGCAGATGATGGCCAAACACTCCCTTTCTGGGGCTCTGCTCTCTGAGGGCTACTAAAGAGGTTGGGAATGCTGGCAGGCTCACAGAAAGCATTACCCACCCTCGTGGCACTCCTTGCATGGAAGTTCACAAAGGGAGAATGGCTCCTAACACAAAATATGCCAAAAGCCTCAGCCCTTGCTCTGCCAGCCCAGGGCAAGGAGAGACAGGGAGGGAGGGAGGGAGGGAGGAAAAACACCTTTTCTCAGGACTCCCAGCCATGGCCTGAGGCAATTTGGCTGTAGTTTCCCATGTGTTTCCCTTGACTGCACCAGGAACTGTTAACTTGTCCTGCTATCTCTCTCTCTCACAGAAAAACAAATAGATGTATCACTGTAATTTTTGTTTAAATTTCATGCTGTCTCTTTGCAGACTTATGTAAAGGAACCTTATTTGCACTGAAATGAACAACAGATCTGTGGAGCTCTGAGCTACATGAAGACATTGGGGCCAAGGAAACTTGAAACAAAGAAGACAAAGAAATGTTACACACATAGACTTAATCTTCCTGTGAATCCTTGTGAGCCAATATATTCAATATGGACTGTACAAGGTGATTAGGATGCAACGTAATTAGGATGCCCAGACAAGCATTGTCATTATTACCACTTATGTCACTATTCAGTGGATGGGTCAATTATTTAAGTGAAAAAGGTTATCTTCTAAATTTGTGTGTGATGCTGCAAACACATGTTCGCATATCTGAAGCCTTGTGTATCCTTGATGAATCTAATCTAACCTGATTTTACTCTGAATATATGAAAAACACCTAATGTTAGAAAGCCAGCAGCCTTCAAAATAAATGGAGGCTTCATAGATATCTTAGAGTGTGATAGCAGGTGTTTAATGTAGAAGAATCCAACTTTGTTTTAAAAATGAACTTATTTTGAGTTATTTGCACATGAATGCATATATACCCGTGTGTACTCTCTCTCCGAACTTTAACTGGCTTTAAGAAATGAAAGGGAAAACTGCCAAATATGCACCAAAACATTTTTAAGAATATAAGTTTTTCCAGGAAAAAATAAACAAACAAAAACCTAGCTTGAACTGAGTTTGCCTGAGAAAATGCAGGTGTGGAAGATAGTTTTCAGAAAATTCTATGTATCTAAGTCCCCTTTTTAAGTTAAATTGCATTTTCAGCCAGAATGATAGCATCTGGAAAGGAAGGGACCCGGAACATCGACTTCTGTTTGATGCATTAAAATGATAAGAAACACTATCGTGGGCAGGCGCCTCCACTGACACAAAGCAATGATCTGCATTTTCTTTCTGTTACGCTCCTATCGGTCTAGAGTAACTCTACTGAAACCAAGTTAAAACATGGGCACCACTGAGAAAGCAGGACAGCAGTGTCCCACGATCCCTTGGTTGCACAGTTTCCACAGCAGAGATTATTACTTACGTTAGAGAATCCCTCAATGACCTTAAATAGGACGATGACCTTATTGCACTGTGTGCTGAACATCCATACAATAAGACTTCCGTCCTTAACTCATTAGAACTGCTCTGTTTTAATTTCCTCAGTGATTATCTGATTGGACTACACTTTTCAGGCCTAATCTTCAATCAGCAGTGGTTGGTCTTTGACATTTCAGCAAAACAGAGAGAACAGGCAATGAAGCTGGTTCACTCCAAGGCAGATACAGCTTCTAAAAGTTCAGATTTACAGTGCAGCCAGTTCCTTATTACACAATGTTTACTTGACTTCTTGAAAAAGACCATTTTAATAGCATTACAATTACAAGCCAATTATAGTTCACTTTCCCACACCAAACTTCTGCCCTTTTTTTTGAGTAATGTTGTCTTTTCTACTTTTTTTAACAAGCTCCCACCAGTCTGGCCTTTCCCATAAATCAACAAAAGGACTGGGTGAAAGTCTGTCCGTGTTGTGCAAGGCAGAGCCACGTCGGCGCCACGTGGCTCTGCTGGAACAGCATCCTCCCTCCAACTGCTGTAGGAGTGTGCCATGGATAGGTGTGTGGATGTAGCTGCTAGAAGTGGGTTTAAATACACTGAAATACCTGACCCCTGTGTCCTGGGTGAAGTGGCTGCTTTTATTGGAAGTCTGTGCAAGCAACAGCCCTGTCTAATGATGCAGCTTAACCTCTTGCCCAAGTACAAAAAGCACCTTAACCCACCTTGTGTCCACATAGAAAATATCACTAGGTCACTTAACACTCCAGCTCGCCTCCATAAAATATTTTTCTGGCACTTGAGAGTCAACTCTTCACCTTAGGTTGTTAGGAACTACAATTGGAGGTCCAGATTGAGAAATTTCCTAATCGTCTTCACAGGGAAGACAAACTACCCTGTCCTCCCAGACTCAGAATGTCTCCACATGCAGAAGTTTATTAGCTGGTTTTACATCTTAGTTTAAAAAAAGCAAGGAAAAAAAAAAAAAAGCAAGAAAAAATATCCCTCAAAGTTTATGCACTTCCTTTCTTTACTCATGAATGGCTTTCCGAGGGAGAGCCTGTTCCTCCTTCTCGCATCACGGTGTGCACACCTCCATTAAGGGTAACAAAGGACTTTGCTGCTTTTATAAACTTCTCAGAAGGCTTCCCTGGGCTCTCCAGTACCATCACTTCACCAGCAATCACCAAGAAGCAATACTCAAAGCTCAGCTAAGGAGATGCAAGGGGGGAGGATGTCAATTCAGCCAAGGCTGCTGGGAGCTAATAGCCTGGAGTGGTGAGGACACAGCTACAGTCAGGAAAGCCTCTGAGGAAAGTTCTCCTAGTGCCTGCACATCCCACATCCACGGACAAGTTTAACAGCATATTAAATATACCTTCACAACCTCAATTTATTAGCAGGTAGAAAGTATCCTTCTTGACCTGCAATCACTGGTGGAATGTGAATGCAGATGGAGCACGGATCAAGAGACAACCCTCGTGGTGACCAGGCAGGTATAGCTGTGGGTCTGGCAGCAGCCAGCACTGCTGGAGCAGCCCTGCAGGCACACAACCAGGAAGCCTGGGGAAACTGGTGTAGCAATACTGTTTTTTGTGGCTTTTCTAATTTTTTTAACTGTTTTTAAAAGATAAAGAGGGAATAAAGCCCCATGGGAATCTCTTTTGCACAGCTACTAATTGCCTCGCTGCAGCAGGTTGGAGGCACTAATACTCATGCAGTGCTTCCCAGCTATAAGACATTGTACAAAGATTAATCCTAGCAACAGCCTGGTGGGGCAAATCCAGGTAATCTCCATTTTGCAGACTGACTGAGAGGTTAAAAGGGAACCATCAATTTTAAAAATGCCTCCTTGGTCTGGAAAATATGGCATTATTATTGTTATATTTAATGTCCTGCAATTACTATGCATCAAAGAGATTAAGGGGAAGAATATAGGGGTTTTCAAGAGCTTACGCTTTGTTTAATGATTTCTGCCTGTCAAAAAATATGTATTCTTAAATATGAATGCAGTGTGCGTATATTATGTAAATAACATACCATAATATGTGTACGCCAAATTATATGATTTCTGATTCCATGTCTAGTGCAGGTCACCTCCACGCTACTATGAGGAGACAAAGGCTCTGCCTCCACCAGCTCTGCATGCCCTCATTTCTGGCTGCAGGGTGCTTGCAGCTCAGCAGAGTGCATTATAGAGCTAGAGGGACCCATGAGCTTGGACCACCTTCAGACCCATCTGTCCTTGCCATAGGAGACCCTGGAGCTGCAGCCCAGCTGGTCATACATGGGGGCTGCCAGCAGGAATAAGAGGTAGCCCTGGGTCAGGTTCTCCCAGAATGTCCAAGGCTGGTCTAGATGTCACACTTTCACCCAACCAGTACAACACCACATGGGACTGGGCATGTAGCAGGCACTGGGACTAGAGCCTGGAACCTGGGCTTGATTTGATATCACCTTCTGCAGAGAACACGCTACCTTCAGAGCCCTGAGCCCCTTGTGTTTCTTTCAAAATATCACAGACAGTGCCCCACACTTTTAAGGAAGATTTCTGGTGATCAAAGTGTCTGGGCAAATTTTCTACTAAGAGCATTCAAAAATGCATGAGTGAGGTGGCAAGTAGCTCTGCCACTGTCTTAAAAATAAGTGCAGCTTCCATGACGTCCCCAGAGCGTGTATTGGGGATACCCTTTTGTTCGCCGTCTGGTGAGCAAATCTTTAAGCCACATATTGCATTTTCTCCTGCAAACATAAGGTCTAAAAGCTAATATTTTCTTTGAGATACACTAATCACATGGCCCCAAGAGCTGAGCTTTCTTCCAAAAAAAAAAAAAAAAATAGCAAAACCCTCAAATATCATAAGACTTGAGATAAAATTTGTTATAACATGGTAGTTTATGAACAATGTGCTACAGATAAGATTGCCAGGGAACTCTGAGCCTGATTTTACTTATCACAGCTTTAGTTCATCAACCTCAACAGGGTTGTTTTGGATATAGAACAGCAGGTTCTGATCTCCTATTTCTTGTACTTTCTGACCACCAAAAACAATACCAAAGCCTCCTGAGAATAAAACAAGAAAGCTATAAATAAATGCTATGCTGTGTTTCAGCATGCGGTGGAAACGTCCACAGCATTTGTATCATGGAACAACAATGAAAAACTTGCAGGTGAACCAGCTCAGGGAGGTGGGAAAGAAAAAATAAACAGAAAGAAATGCATCATGTAACATAAAGTGCCAGTTCCAAATCACTGAGACTCCCAGTTTCTGAGTGTGCTGTGAGGGAAGGCAGAAGGATGGACAGACAGAGAGACATACAGGTAGAGGAGAAGAGACAGAGGGAGAGGAGGAGAGAGAAAAGGAGAAGAAGGGAGGGAGGGAGGGAAAGTGAAACCAGGCAAGTGAAACCACCCCATCCTTTGGCCCCAAATGTCACTTAATCTCAAATACTGGTCATTAGGCTCTGAAATCTGCCTTTGCTTTCCTAGAAGTGGAGGGTTAGTAATGCTACAGGACTATTTTGATGGTTAATTTTCATTCACTTATTACAGAATCATAGAATCATGGAACAGTTCAGGCTGGAGGGGACCTTTAAAGGTCATCTAGTCCAACCCCCTGCAATCAGCAATCCCATCTTCAACTAGATTGGGTTGCTCAGAGCCCCATCCAACCTGACCTTGAATGTTTCCAGGGATGGGACATCTACCACCTCTCTCGGCAACCTGCGCCAGTGTTTCACCACTCTCATTGTAAAAAAATTTCTTCCTTATATCTAATCTAAAATGTATACCTAATTATATAACTAATCCAAATATTTCCTCTTTTAGTTTAAAGCCATTGCCCTTTGTTCTGTTGCAACAGGCCTGCTAAAAAGTCTATCCCCATCTCTCCTATAGGCCCCCTTTATGTACTGAAATGCTGCTATAAAGTGTCCCCAGAGCCTTCTCTTCTCCAGGCTGAACAACCCCAACTCTCTCGGCTTGTCTTCTTAGCAGAAGTGCTCCAGCCCTGTGATCATCTTTGTGTCCCTCCTCTAGACCCACCCCAACAGGTCCATGTCTTTCCTGTGTTGAGGGCTCCAGAGCTGGATGCAGTGCTCCAGGTGGGGTCTCACCAGAACAGAGGGGCAGAATCACCTCCCTCAACATGCTGGCCATGCTGCTTTTGATGCAGCTCAGGATACAGTTGGCTTTCTGGGCTGCAAGTGCATGTTGCCAGCTCATGTCCAGCCTTTCATCCACCAACACCCCTAAATTCTTCTTGGCAGGGCTGCTCACTATCGCTTCATCCCCAAGTCTGTGCTGATATGGGCAGTTGCTCTGACCCAGGTGCAGGACCCTGCTGGTTGAACCTCATGAGGTTCACATAGGCTCACTTCTTGAGCCAGCCCAGGTCCCTCTGGATGGCATCCCATCCCTTGGGCCTGTCAACTGCACCACTCAACAACAAGGTTACACAGCAACAGGGTTAATGGGAAGGGAGGACAGACTGAGCTTGGGAGACAGACAGCTCTCTGGCAAGGGCTCTGCCTGTGTTTAGTCCAAGCACATCACATGGGTCTCCCCGTGACAGGAAAGTCACTGCCTTATAATAAATAGCTCCAGTGCAGTCACCGTCATCTCAGTTACAGCATAACGAAACCACCACGCTGTCTGAAGTCCTGAGAGTGAACACACAGTCATTTCTCCCCAGAAAAGAAGTTTAAGCAACCTCAGGACTCTTCAAGCTTCATCTTTTAAGAACAAACATAGTAAAAAGTCACAAATTATTGAGTTGGCAAAGCAAACGAGAGTAAAGCATGGCCATGAGCAATGCTTTCTTTAAGACTGGCAGAAATCTCAGAATCACTTTGAAGCCGAGCCTAAAAATGAACAGGATGCACCTGGGAATTACTTACTGTAGTAATGACTCTGACTGTCACGGAAAAGCTTACTCAAAGCAACATGTGTATAGGAAATAGTTTGCAATGAGGACCTGAGGCCACATGGTGCCTGGGTTTACCCAGAACATCTTTCAGAGGAGTCAGGGCACCTTCTCCACATACTATAGGTTAGGGTAAGTATTTTCAGTAAGCAACTGATTTCCAATAAACAATGTGGTTTTGGGGTGCATCAAAATATCTCACATGTTCTAGTTGAAGATAAGTTCTAGCTGAAAAAAAATATGGTCAAAAAAGTGTAGAAATCTTAGAAGATTTATTTTTACCATCTAAAAATAATGCTTTGATTTTGTGTTCTGAAGTTGTATATTCCCTTTGAACTTGACCTGAATTCAAAAAAATGAATGAAAACACTAAAAATAGGGCTAGACAGCCCTGAAAATTAATGGACAGCTTTTATTTGGGCAGGGAGTGGGGGAAAAGGGAAAGAAAAAAGACTTTCGGCTGTCCTGAAAGTCGGTATTTTTTAATTTAGCTGAAAAAGAAACAACTCAACTCCCCAAAAAAATCTGTTTTGAGTTGAGCTGAAGTAAGATATTTGTGGGTTTTGTTCTGTTTTTTTTTTTTAGCTTCACTACAAGACAGAGAATCAGAAATTCAGACTTCTGTACTGAACGTCCTGAGCTTTTTCTTCCTTTTTAGTGTTGTCTTTTTATTCTTTTTTTTCTCTTTTAAGAAAATGGATTGAAACTTCATGTTTAAATCAGAGTGGGGTTTGTGTAGAATGCAACATGGCTTTGCTCAGGGGTGATGAGCAAGCCCTTGGCAGAGCCCCCCTTGCACAGGCATCCTACCCACCCAGCCTTGTCTCGCAGGACTCCTCCTCAGCCTGGGTGCTGCAGGAGCGCACCCAACACCGATGCCAGGATTTAGGATTGATCAGCCCACTCTCTCCCCAGCACCTCCTCAAGGTGATGAGTGCTCCCAGTTTTTGTATTGAGAGGCAATCAGAATGCAGCTCACAACCAGCCTCAACACACATGGTGTCCGTGAGCAACCTCATCCTCTCATTTACTGAGCTTGATTTGGGGTATCCTCTCTCCTCCGAAAATTGCCACCAGTTCAGCTCCCAGGTGAAACTTCAGCCCAGGACGAGGGGAACCAGGACCTGAGCTTACCATCTTCCCTTCTCATGACTCCAGCAAATCCCAGCTAGGAAATATGGGGACCAGAAGGAAAAGTGTCTGGGCGCTGCAAGAAAAAACATGAGCAATGGGAAATCTGAGTCATGGCCAAGGGAGAGGTGAAAGGATGTGCTGCTTAGAATATGTGGGACTTATGGCAAAAAGGAAGGTTGCATCATAAAATGAGGATATCATTAATGCAGTAGTTAACAACATTGTTCAGTGGCATCTCTTTTTCACCAGTAAATGTGACAGCCAATGGAGTGACAAGTGATAAATCAAAGCGAGCCTCATTCCCACAGCACTTGACACCTCCTCCGAAACCTAAATGCCCCCGCTGTGAAAGTGGGTGCCTGCTGGAGGGAACTTCCCAAAGTACCAGGGAAGGCTAAAGCCCCAAATTCAACACCAAAGGTTGTACTTGCCACAGGACACTAAGGTGCAGGAAGTTGTGTGTTCGAAGGAAGACACAGGGAGACTAGGTTTTTTTTCTGAAGAAGGGGAAAACAACTCATAATGAAACTGGGATTTGACGGGGGTTGCGGCAGCCAGAGCCTGCTCTTTTGCAGCTCAGCAGTGCAGACCATGAGCAACTCTTTTAATCAATGTCTTGTTCAAGAGAACATAAAAGGGGATTTAATTAGGCAAAATGTCAAGATGTGCCTTCTTCCCGCCTGTGCTTTTTGAACAAGTATCCGTTAGCTTTCATGACGCCAGGATAGAGCTCTTTGGACCACCCTGCTGAAGGATGCACAAGGGCTGTTCCTTCTCAGTGACCCACGGCTGCCCATGAGCTTTACAGACACATTTTAGATCACCAGCCACAACAGGGACGATTCTCATACACATGGAATTAGTCATTTTCTGTTTAATCCTGCTAATTATTCACATGTCTTATCGTAGGGAGAGCCCCAGGTGAATTACGCATTTCACAACGAGTTTGCTTTGCTACCTCAATGGACAGCAAAAGCCCTTTTTACCATCTGAAGCAAAACAAGCCAGTTTTGGAAGTCTAGTCTTTCAAAGAGAAGGGATTAAAAATGGCAATATTGCCATTTGCCAATTCTGAATTCACCACCTATCTCTGCCAGGGACTTTTCTAACTTGGAGCAAGTGAACGTGCGCTCCGAGAGCCTGTGAGCTAAACAGCAGCACGAACACCCACTGCCTTCCACCTCTGCCTCTGCCTTGTCAGCTGAGATGGCAAATGCTTTTAGCAGGAACCATCTCTCTCTATCTGCTCGGCATCGCTCGAAGCCCGGCACCTCAACCGTCGCACAAACACCGGGCCGTATCCACACCTCCCACTTACCAGCCACCACCTGTAGCTGTCCTCTGGGATCAAGGCATTCTGTGAGGTCAGGAAAGGTTGCATAGTTGAATTAAATCTCTGATCGAACCAGAGGGAATGTCCCAGCTCAGAAATGCATGTGCGACAGCTGCATGGTCTCCTGGGGTACTTGAAGAGTTTTTGGACTTGCTCTAAAAACTGCATGATGAGATGTCTCAGATCCCAGGTGGTCGTAGTCGCCTGCTGCGTGTAGTTCAGCAGAAACGATGTTACCGTGATGAGCAAAAAGGCGAAGGTAAACACTTTCACATTCTTCCTCCTTGCGACAACCATCTTTCCACTCGGGTTCTGCCGCTGCCGCTGGCCAAGCACGATGTAGGGTCCAACGTAAGGCAAAAAGGAAAGGGTGCTGCAGGCACCTGCCAGTTACCACCCTGGGCTTAGGCTGCACATACCAACTCCACTACCTCCATCCATAAGGGAAGAAGATCCATTTCCCCCAAATGGTCTTTAAAAAAGCAAAACTGGATATTTTCTTTCACCTTCTCACCGTGCTTCCAAATCTCTTCCACCTCTCCGTGACTTGCAGCTAACCTCTCCTGATGAGGGTTCAATGAAGTTGAACCTTCTTGCCCTTCCACAGACCAGAAGATTCAGAGGAGAACAATATCAGCATTAAAATTTAGGTTTTTTATGTGGAACTGCAGAAAGAAGAGAGTAGTTATATTTTTTCCTTGGAAGTTAGTTCCCGAAGGATCAAATCATCCGGGGATGTATGTTCCAGCTGATAGACGTGCTTTGATGTCCATTTAACCCATGGAGAGCAGTTTGCAGCCTGGAAATACACAAAAACAACAAAAAAAAAAGAATTCTTGTCAGAAACTTTTTTGCATACCTCCCACCTAATTTTGCTGCTTTTCTCTCCTCATACCAAAACTTCTGATCAGCTCAGAGCCCTCAACACAGCTGCAATTTCTGCTGTGGTATTTGCATACTAAGAAGTTTCAGGGCGAAATCTCCAAAAGGGCAGAGCATCGACCTGTGGACATTGAGTCCCTTTCTATTGAATCAGCCCTGGCCTCCTTTGAATTACAGTTTGTAGCTATTTGAATGGCAATGACTGACCTCCTTCCCTTAGGCTGACCTTCATAGCCACAAGATACGCAGCAAAGCGTTCATAACTCAAACCAGCTGAACAGAAAGCACCTGGCAAAGAAAGGAGGAGCAAAACAGGGAGAAAAAAGAATCAGTACCTTTCTCTTCCTCACCCCAACTGGTTTAATTTTTCAAGGATCAAGTTTGGACTCAGAGATTCAGAGAAATCCAAGCAAGAAGAGCTCATATGTCCTGGGACCGATAGGGGAATTTCAAAGTACAAACGGCTTTTGTTTCATATGGATTGTTGCTCTTTTTGCTGCCAAGGAAGGGTAGGTGAGGGATCTCAGAGAGTTCCTGTGAGATCCTGAGCCAGGCAGAGAAGCTGGGAGCTGCTTCACCTCAGCGAGTTGGGGAAAATAAAGGACCTGGAGCTCCTCTATGTTTCCCTTCTGGTGTCCCCTGCCTGGCAGCAGTGATTTAAACAAGTTTTTAAAAGCCAAAACATAGATCCCTTCCTCCCAGGATGCCATTGTTTCGTGGGAAGAAAAAAAGTGTGGTTTTTAAAGCATTGGATGTTTGCAAAAAGCCCCAAAAGTGCTATTGCTTAAATATCACTCTTTTGATTAAAAAACAAACAAACAAACAAACAAAAAAAAACCAATAAAAAAGAAGAAAAAAATCAGAGATGCATCTATGTCAGAATACGTGCAATTTACGAACAAGCAAAAGCCCAGCAAAAGAAGTCTCACCCAGCTGCAGGCTTCAGGCCAGCAAAGAAAGAGCAAAACTGCAACCGTTACTGTTAAAAAACATCATTTTAACCCACTCTGTGAACCACATTGATGCAAGATCCTCCTCATTTCATCACCCAAATCTGTTGCTTATCCAGACATGGGGGAGGCACATCTGGTGGCCACAGTTCTGGGCTGGGGGCAGCATCCCCAGCTTTGCTGCTGGCTTTTCTCCTGAGGAGCTGCGAGGAGCTGCCCAAGGCCAAACCGCTTTTCCAAAGGGTTTGACATGGTGTCTTGGAGACAGCACAGGCCTGGTTTTTAAAGGCAGCATGTAAATATTTACTGAGTCCCGTAAAGCCAAATCCGAAGGCAGGAGCCTCAGACCGTGGTCTTAAGGCCTTTGCTCTGCTTCGGGTCCCTCATCTGCAGCACGTGATGGGTCGTGTGTGCTGTTCAATTAGCTGCTGTTTGCCAAATGCCTCGAGATTTATTTTAAGTCTGGCCCCTACAAATGCATTTACAGGAGCTCAAGGGCTGACAAGTGGGTCAGGCTGGATAACAAAAGGCTTTATTAACCCCAGCTGCTCGGGCTCGCCCGCACCAGTCAATTAAATAGCACCGGGGAACAACCCTGTGGCTTAATTTAACTTCTCAGAGGGAAGTTTTGGAGCTAACCAGAAATCTTCCAAACTACTGCCGGGCACAGTTTGGGAACCTCAACCCAAAAGTCAGTAGGGATGCGGCCGCCGTGCCTTGGAGAGTTCGAAAGGCAGCTTGAGAGAAGGGGCCCCCCATGCACGGCCCCATCCACACCAGCTGGTCTCTGTGTCGGAGCGTGACCACAAACACATCTGCTTTACCAGCCTGGATGTAGTTGTTCGTCTAAACAAAAACACAGCCGCCAACCCCCTCAAAAATACTCCAGATCCCAGAAGCAGATTGATTGTCCATTTATGGACCAGATAATTCCGGTGTTGCAACGCTGGCGGGTCGAACCCCTACTGCTGTTAACACTTGGCCAATTCAATATTTGTAAACACAGCTCCTGCTCTCCTATTATTTTTTTAAGTGGAGGAGAGAGGGGGATTATGCAGCCTTTCCTGGAAAAGCCTATAAAATGGAGTATTGTTCATGAAAGAAACAGTTCTGGCCTCCAAAACAAACACCCATTTCACCAGATATTTTTTTTTTTTTTGCAACTGAGCTAAAGTTAAACTTGTATTTAGTATTTGAAAAGAAAAAAACCAAACCAGTATTTATGCAGTGGACTGCAGTGTTACAAACTCCTGATCACCCTGTATTTTGTAGCACGTAATGGGAAGGTGAGAAACCAGAACAACTCCCATGGCCCTTTTCCATTGTGGAAATATACACCAGATACACTATTTTAATTCTCACTATTTACAATTTCCTGTAAATGCTCGTGTTTCCTATGGATAGTCAGGACTGAAAAAAAACCACAATATCCATATATATATATATAACCTGACAGAAAGTCTCTGGGGACTATAAATGTGATTTAGGGCCTGAGGAAAAGGCAGGCTGAAATGAATGGAATATACTTTCATCAAGTTCACTGGGACGTGGACCTGGCCCATTTTTTTCCTTTCTTAAAACACAAGTTACATCCAACCCCGACTTCAGTATTTTCACTCTTCCCAGCATCTTGCACCGCATCTCAGGCCATCCCTGAGTCTTCATCTGCTCAGATGTATTCATAAATCTTTGCAAAAGGGTTTCCATAGGATTTGCCAAGCTGCGAGGAAGCAGGAAGGGCAGGGACGATGCCGAAGCAGCAGCTAGTGCGGGAAACCACAAAGGGCTGCTAACCCAAGCTGTTAGGAATGTGCTTTACCTCCTGATACTATTTGCAATAGTTAATTTAAGTCATTACAAGTAAATAGAGTGATACCAGCCACGGTCCTTATCAACATACCTTGGCACGACCTTGGCACTTGTGCATCTGTGAACATGCTATTTTGGCCTCAAACCCAGAAGAAATTTCTGGGGACTTCAGGTAAGAAGATCTAATTATGTGCCCAGCCCTCGTCCCAGCTATTGTCCCCTCAGAGTTAAACAGAGTTTAAGTACAGCCTGCGTGCGGCTGTGCCCGTGGGCAGCTGTCCCAGCTCAGCTCAAGCGAGCAGCAGGTTAAGCTACCTTAAGTGATTGGGTGCTTAAGGTCTTATTTGTGGTCTGGATTTCTCCTGCTACCTTCCCACCTCCTCCCCCTTCCTACCTATACCCTTGTCCTGGTGTGAGCCACCCCTGTACATGCCAGGATAACTTATATTTATGCTGCCAACTCCCAACACCCAGTGACAGGCAATGCAGGGAAAATGTGAAATGAGGTTCCCGGGCAGGAGCAGAGGGGCAGGTTTAGCAGAAGGGGCAGGTTCCTCCAAGCTCTGCCTTGAGTGTAGGAGTGGGTCCAGTGTAGTCATAAAGGAGAGCAAAGCTCAGTCTTTGGTCTACATTTTCTGTTCTAAAATATACCAGGATCAATCCATTGTGATTGGTTTTTTCTTTTTTTTTTTTTTTTTTTTTTTTTTTTTTTTTTTTTCCCCAGGGTAGATCTTTTTTACATTGTCATCTCACAATCTGAAGAATGTCCCTTGTCCCTTGCCAATTTGGCAATTAACAGACAAGGATAAAAACTCAATGGACTAGTATAAAACAATTCTTAACACTTTAAGGAAATAGTCTTTTTTTGACACACCCACCTACAAATGCAATGTATTCTTACTGCACTTGTTAGTGTTATGTGACAAAAGCTTGTCTGCACACCCACAAAGGAGTACAGAGAGACAATGGCAGGAGGGGGACAAATAATACCTTGTCCTGAAGGCTCCCAGGTCCATCCCAGGACCCATTTCCTTAAGCACATAGAAGCACTGTTCCCACACTGCACAAAGGCAGGTAGGAATCTAAATTAAGGACTCAAAAGGAACACCCTTCTTATGTCCCTCCCTGGGCTGGCCCAGAGGAGCCTCAGCCCCAGGTATGAAACTCACCCAGATAAATCAACACCAGATCATCTTTGGGACCAAGATGGGTTGCTGCCTGGGGGCATGGGACACATGGGGTGCAAGGGAGGAGCATTTGGGAATTGCACAACATCTGTGCGGCCAGCCACACAATATTTGCAGAATTATTGGTTTCTAGAAATTTTTTTTTAAGATGAGTCTTAAACAAAGAGTGTGTGAAAATTAATAATGAAAAAACATTGAGAGAAAAAAAATCACTGTACTTCTTCTAACCCCCTCCCCAAGTTGTAAATGTCTCAGTATTGTAGGGCTTGACCCCTTTTTGATGCCTACTTTGCTAGCAAAGAAGTACTTAGTACCAGCACCACTTTGAGGAGATTTTAGATGCTGACTCTTTGGGATCCAGCTTTTGCCTTCTGGTCTGTAACTCACATTAAAACCCCAGTGTGAAACACACTTCTCTGGTTTGATGTCACCAGCATTTTCCAGACACAGCGTGTCGGGCAGACCAGCACAAAGGCAACAGGGAACAGCATCCCCATAAAGAGATATTTCCAGCTTTCTATTCACTTCTTGAATAGTTCAAAGGTCCTAAAGTCCTTTAGACTCAAAAGCCACATACCCACCGGCCCTGGCGGCAGCTAGGGAAGGACAACGTGACCTACTGCAGCCCTCTCATGACTGATGGTGGCCACTGTACAACCCTTCTACAGCCCACAGTATTTTCCAGCTGGAAACTGTATACTTCAAGGAGTAGAGATTTGCTGCAATTCAAGAGACTGTGCTGTGCTAGAAAGGTCTCGGTAGCAGAACTGCAAATGCCCATTTTCAGAAGCACAGCTCAGATTTCCTTCCCTCCCCCCAAAACCTCCCAAGATGAGTTAGTTTCCCAGCTAAGCCACTGACAGCTTTATTGTTATCAAGCCTTTTGGCAACACAAACAGTATGTCCTCAAGCATCCTTCCTGCTGTTTTGGGACTTCCTTCGCATCCACATTTCTTGTGAGTAACTACTCG